AATTAGCCGATAACAAAACGAGCAGGGGCCTGGGACTGAAAATTTTAAAAGTGCTACAATCTTACAGAAATCTGTTGTTGATAGATAAAGCACATATAAATTAGCTAAACTTTAAAGTTTGAGCAAGTTTAAGTCATTAGAATTGGGAATATAATTTTTCAAAAATTTCGAAAATTACAAAGAATGTATGTTTGGCTGGACGCTTTGGCTGGACACCATACATTTCTTTGTAATTTTGGCATGGTTTGAATGTCCATAACTTTATTGMTATAWRTTCAAACATCATGAAACTTAGTCAGTAAGCCTTTTGTATGGTGCTCTTTCACATGATGGGGTTATTCTTTCTGGAACCATTATTTAATTAGATTTRGAAGTTCGTACCCAGTCCCTTTTTCGTTTTGTTATCGGCCAATTGCAAGGGGTGCAGTTTGTGTTGTATTTAGACCTTCAAATCACGTGATAGTGTTACTTACAGACTTATAAACCGATAACAAAGTGGTTACCCGTCTTATAGACGGAGTAACCACAAAAAGGGACTGGGTCCGAACTCCAAAATCTAATTAAATAATGGTCYCAGAAAGAATAACCCCATCATGTGAAAGAGCACCATATGAAAGGCTTACTGACTAAATTTCATGTTTGAACCATTTAAATTACGGACATTCAAACCATGCCAAAATTGCAAAGAAATGTATGGCGTCCAGCCAAAGCGTCCAGCCAAACATACATTCTTTGTAATTTTTGTAATTTTTTGAAAAATTCTATTTCCATTTCTAATGACTTAAACTTGCTCAAATTTTAAACTCTTTAGCTAACTTATATGTGCTTTATCTATCGACAACACATTTCTGTGAGACTGTGTCACTTTTAAAAAATTCAGTCCCAGGCCCCTGCTCGTTTTGTGATCGGCTAATTATTATCGTTGGCCGCAGTCAGGCATGTCAGGCTCATGTCCAAGTCGCGTCAAAACTTATACACAATTGACAGCCGAAATTCTTATTATTAAAATGTGAATTTCAACAGTTAATCTTCGTATACATAATATTGGGGCAAGATGGTGGGGCGAGATGGCAAAGTTGGGGCTAGATGGCAAAGTTGGGGCGAGATGGTGTGGGTGAAATGGTGTGGGCGAAATGGCATTGGGGCGAGATGACCGGTAACAGCAACGAGGTGCCAAACGTCTGGAATTGCACACAATCACTTAACATGTCGTTTTGTTTCACGGCGAATAACTATAGAATTATGCTCTGGTCATTAATATTCTTAGTCAGCGTAATACTGACGTCAACCAACACCATTTCTACGTGTGAAATAAAGCCCTTTTTTCTATTTTTAAATTCAAGGGAAAGTATTTGATGTTTAGACGAATTCCATATCCTTTGAATGGTAGTTTTATCCCTATGTAATCACAAATAAAGAAGCACATATTATTAATGGCAATATATTAATTATATCTAATGCTGATTGTACCAATATAAAAACGGAATCTTTGTGCGTTACTCATACTCATACATTCATTTCATGAATTATTGTTTAAACCACCCAGGAAAGTTTTCGTGTGCAGTTGACTCATTTCTTGAAAAATTACTACACAGAAAAATCTGACACTACTAAAAATCTGACATTATGCAGGAGACCCATCCAGGATAAGATTGAAAACAAACTGCACATGACGCTAACTGTTTTCTTAGTTTCTAATTATGTGACATATTTCGTCTATTTGTTTCCCCTTCGTGACAATTTCTGGAAAACATCATCTCCTTATTGGCACTTAGCGGTAGCTATGACTAGTTATATACACCTACTTGCGAAAACGTTGTCATAAAAATAGGACATTTGTATTTTAGTAAAAAGGAATAAATTAAAATTAAATTAAGTGTTTTGGTTTAAAAACCAAATGTAGCTTTTTGTGTTAGTGGAATTGCATTTTTTTAATTTTTTCATGAGTAACTGTTGCAAAACAAGATGCCATTTGCCAAGAATCAATATTATGAGATTGATCAAAGAATAGTCTCATATTCAGAGATAGCCAGCCAATAAAAGCGMATGTTCTTATGAAGTTGTGAATCATGTAATATTTATTATATAGATGAATTCTAACGAGCACTGTGAAAAAAAGTGTGGTTTATGAGAGTATAAACCACGATTGTGCTCAAAAAAGATTTTTGCTCAAAAGCTTTCAGCTCTTGCTTCTTGACATTTTCTCATGTGTTTCAAATGCCAAGTGTGTGTTTATCAGAGTATATTTATTTGTTAAATATCTGCTTCAAATTGCATGAATATAATCATGATCTAGCAGGTCAGGAGGAAAATGGTGGTGCTAAATTATTTGACTATATAATCTAGTTATAGTAGSAAATCTACATCACAAAAGCTAATGATCTTTAATTTGCTATTCTGACTTTAAAAAAATAAAATCAATTAAAGAAAAGAATAAATTCTAATCATTATGTGAAACTCCTAATAAAACAACCAAATTATGTTACCTCTGCCAATGCCTGCATCTCTTCATACTCTTTATCATCCAGTAATGGTTTCATTGAGAGCATAAAYTTCCTACAAGTGYCGTTGAGAGCGGGAATGGGCATTCTTGGTAGACTGTTTTGGTAGCTGTACAATGTTGGGTGATGCCCAGAGAACAGACGAACAAGAGCTCCCCAGCAAAGGGTCATTATGCTTTGAGAACGAGGTGTTTCATCTGGAAGATAGAGAGGATATTGTACCTCAGGTGACTGTAGATTTGACTTTCCCAGTAATTGATACTACAAACAGCCCCAAGTGTTTTATAGAGTTCAASTAAGAGATGCAACAGTGCAAATATTGTGAATAATAAAAATGCATGAATGAARGATACATTCAATTAGTTTTAAAATTACCATCTTAGAATAAAGCAACAACATTTGAATAATTGTTTGTTTTATAGTAAGTTGGAAGAAATATCTTAAGAGTCACACAGTGATTATTTCAAAACAAAAGGATGAAGTTTCTATACATGTACAGTCACATAGTATGAATGCTTTYATTTTGATTTGTGATAAAAAAAAATGTTTGGGTAACACTCACACATCCATCTTCTGTAAGAGAGTAGCATCCGCAGCATATACTGCCTAACATACATCATTACGATGAAAAACACCACTCCACAAATACTAGCCAATACTACTACACGAAGTCCATATGGGTATGCATCATCTAAGTAAATTAGTCTGCCAAACCACCAGACAGAGTTGGTCAGAGGTTCAATTTGGTTAACATGATACAAGTGGTCAAAGTGGAGCAGTCCTGCAATGACAATCACAGTCCCAAGGAGGTTGGACCATGTTGTTGGCCAGAGACCATTTCTTATCTGTTGCCTATTTTCAAACCAAATTAACATTATTAAGGTGTCAAAATAAATCCAACTCCAACTATGTCGCAAATTTCGATTCAATTGCACTCCAACTTCCACAGAAGTCACAGTGATTATCGATAATTATTGTTGATAAATTAATGTAAGTTCCAAAAAGCAAAGCCATTAGAATAAACGATGCAAAATAAAAACACCTTCATTTTTCTTCAAAATTAATTTTCTCGAAACTCATCGCAGAGATTGTAATAAAATTTTCAGAATCATTTCAATCTTCATAACATAATTGATATATTGATGAAGTTTCAATAAAATCTTAACCTAAAATTTTGATTTGTTCGAATCGAATGTACATCATTTTGCTCAATCAACTCGAAATTTTAGGTTAAGATTTTATTGAAACTTCGTCAGTATATCAATTATGTTATCAAAAAATGATTCTGAAAATTTTATTACAATCTCTGCGATGAGTTTCGAGGAAATTAACTTTGAAGAAAAATGAAGGTGTTTTTATTTTGCATCGTTTATCCAAATAGCATCGCTTTTTGGAAAATTTAATTTATCAACAAGAATTATCGATAATCACTGTTACTTCTGTGAAAATTTGAGTGCAATGGAATCGAAATTTGCGACGTAGAGTTTAAGAATACGGAGGAATGCTATTTATTACAATTGAAACACCTTGAGTTTTGAAAGAGTCAAGAATATAGCCTCTTAGAATTTTGTCACTGACCATGGTTGTATTATCARATTCATTAATAATTCATAAGGTAAACACAAGGAACAAGTTCCCATTAATTAAATCCGTACTTTACCATTTTAATCCGTACTTCAGAAAATGATGGGTTTTGAGTGTGTCAACACACATTTGAACCAATCATAATAGAGTATTTCAATGGATCAAAATTTAAGATCTACTATATGCTGAAAAAGTATATTTTTAGGAGGAAAAGATCAATTTCTAGATCTTATATAAACAGAAAAAAACAGAAAACTAGCTCACGTCGCGGCTACTAGTTCTTCGTTGGAGTCTTTTATTTCAGAGATTGTACTTATAAGAATTYGCAAGGTCCATGGATTAACATGCAAATCAAATCAATGTGGTTCTAGACTTCATTGTTCTTTAGCTTGTTATTTCTCCTCTGTTCTTCTGATAAAAACATTTGATTTTGAGAATACCAGTCGTTTCGAGACATTGCCAGTTCGAGACACGTATTTTCGGTTGTTTCGAGACACATCGTATGGACGGTTCGAGACATGTCTATGGTCACTTTGAGACATATATAAAAATAATATATAAGTGTCATATAACATAAAGTAATGAAGGGCAAAAGGCTTTTTGGACAGTTTGAAGAGAAAATCATGACATTTGAAGACTTTTTGACGACCTTCATTAGCCGTCTTCGGCACGCCATTTTGTTTTGAAATCGACAACTTTACCGCATTATTTTCATTGATATAAATTACGAGGGAGTGAAGGTAATACCTACCCATGCGACCATAAATAAGATATCCCCCGTGGCTGGGGTATGGATATTTTATGGAACTACACATTCAAATGATGCAAATCAGCCACCTTAGGGAAAATCATTGCCGTGACCACAATTTTTTACATAAGCAAGAGATTTGTCCTGATTTGCATACAATTTTAACTTCAATTTTCTCTTACAAATGCTATTTTTTATGGGTGGCTGATTTGCATCATGGGAATGTGTAGTAATTCCATAAAATATCCATACCCCAGCCACGGGGGATATCTTATTTATGGTCGCCTGGGTAGGTACCTCCTACCCCCTCGTAATTTATATCAATACAAGATATGCATTTTAAATACTCTCAGCATTTCAAAATCAAATGTTTTTATCAGAAGAACAGAGGAGNAAACCTAACCCTAAACCTAACCCTAAACTGATATGTACTGGATTGAGTTATATTGGACTGGTTCAAAATAAACTGAACCAGTTCAGAAGAAATTGAACTGGTTCAAAATCATATTGAACCTGAACTACAACATAAATTTCACAATAACCTTAACCATAAATTCATGGTACCTCTCCAAATGCCCTTTCGAAAAATGATCAGTATATTTAAGTGTGGCTATACTGCGACAGCGAATTTGTGGATTTGTAAGTGATTTGAACATACTTGTACATGTTGAATCCATGTCTTCTTCCATCATGCGATACACTCTCGCCGAAAATTGCTGAGCTTGAACTACATGAATCTGTGGACAATTTGTGACTGAAATGGGGCGATGACCAAAAAGAAAACCATAACTTGAACTCTGGATTTCTTTGACTATTAAAATCACTAAAACTGATTTTGTAATCACGCCTTTGATTCCAGACCAAATTGCACTCCGCTCAGTTCAATTAACATTAATCGGAGATCCACGACTCATCTTAAAAGAAATTAAGAAAAATACGCAGTCAAGGRCTGCAAGTGACTCAGGCATAGAGATCTAGAATAGGACACAATGACAAAGTGTAATTTGAAGTCTCTTTCATATTATTTGCAAAGTAGTAAACGAAGATAACTTAGGACCTTGTAATTCCATCTTAAAAAGAACGGACCAGTGAAAAATTCTTCTGACAGTCATTTTTGTTGTGTAGATGTTCCACGCTTTTAGGCAATGATGTCTAGAGTGAACTCACAAAATTCACCCAACAAATATTACTACATTACTAAATAGTTTTGATAACCATAAATAGAGTATTAACATATCTATCATCAGTTTTGCTTTGCACTATTCAGTTTTGCACGAATCAAGTGAGCTCACTCTATTATGGCTGGTATTTGAATGTATGATCAGTGAAAATTCAAAAATAACACTAGAGTACAAACACTAAAACTGTGCAACCTAAATACCACTAAATTATGCTAATTCTATTGTTTTCCATTGTTTAATTAACACTATTTTGTCGTAAATAGTGGAAAGTATTGCACACATTTAATATTAATTTTGTACTCTAGTATGTATCTTTATTTAAAAACCTTATTAATAATGCATGACCTATTACTCCAATAAGGGATGTCCATTTAATCAGGCAATTAGCATAACGGAGTTTCATGTGCGCATGCATCAGTTGCTTGTTCATTGAAGTCAGGTGTATCAAGTTGATATATATCGAGGTGTTTTCGGTATTTCTTTTTAAATTTTGTGGCAATACTTTGTACAAATACACGCCTTTGATACAAAATGGAGTCTTCGTCAATTATTACCTCCACTGGACATGACTTGAGAATATATGGTTGATATTGAGTGCTTGAAAAGCTATTTGTTCTGACATACTAAGAATGTGACGGCCTTGATATTTCAGAAGGAATCAGGTAAGCCTGGAATTTCTATAGTGAATAGTCTATATGCTATACACTGTTAAATTATCATGTTGTTAATGTCATCAAAGCCTTATTTTGACAGGAATATTTTGCCAGAATCTTGGCGATTTTAGAGAAATTTGTTGTTAACTGATTGTAAGTGCTCAATTATATCGAAATCTGTACTCAACCTCCACACTTTTCTTTGTTGCAAAAGGAAGAGTTACCCTTTCTTACTAGGAATATTATGCTCTATGTGTTTTAAAAAATGGGGAACTTTCAGTTTTGGATCAATTTATACACGATATACCATTGACTTTTGTCACACCGCTCTATTTGTTTGCTACTAAATATTCACTTAAAATAATAAATAATGGACGAGGACCAATGTTCTCAAAAGTTAATACCTTAAATATTATTTAACTCTTGCAAATTTTGAGATCGTGGAAACTTCCTTCAAAATTTATCCAACTGAAAATATGTCCATATATTAACAGTTGCTGCAATAGTTTGAATGCATATTTTCTAAAATCTATTCACAACTGCCACACAAAATCCAACTGATTTGAAACGTACTTTTAATATACTTTCAATATGCATTGCTAAAATTATTCTAAATCAAGCCGCCAATGGCAACACAACTCGAAGATTGATTGTGTAGACGAATAAAGAACGATACGATGAATCGAATTATAATTACTTGACAAATAGAATTTTGAGTATCTGATTTTTATGAATATAGTTTGTTTTTTTGTTATATTTTATCAATTTAACTTCGGTTCTGGATCCCAGTCTAGCCAGATTAAACTATGTAAAATCACCGCAAGTGTCAAAACGCAATAATAACAATCCCCATTAAGTAAACACAACTTATCCTCAACCGCAACGATCGATATCTCGGGAGTTCAATTAAAGCAAACAATAGAAACTTCAACAAACAGCCAAATAGAAATTTTCTGAAGAATTTGATCAACAAAGAGTTAGTAACGTATCAATGATTGAAAAGGTCAATAGACGAAATATGTTTCATTGAAAGTCTTGGTTTTAGTGTGTCAAACAAGAATTTTGTTTAAAAAAACAAGTTCACATGTACCATGAAACAGTCAAATAGTATCCGGTTTAACAAGGCAAAAGGGGCATTTTCTTAAAATATCTGAGTCTGTCGGAGAGAGAAATTTGTGTTTCTGGTACATTTTTGTTAAATCATAAGTGTGGTCACTTTAATTTAGTAATCAACCTAGATAACAAAGAAACTGTCAAAGTAAGTACGCAAAGAAATTTTGCATAAATATCTATAGACAACAGATGTGCTGCAGATGTCTATTCATATTCTTTAAGCACATGTTTTAAATTTAATTCAGAAGTGTTTGGACGTCGATGTATAAAGGAGTACAAGGAAGACTACAGTCTCTTTGATTGCGAGCTGCGTAGATCTGGAAAATTCTAAGACAGAGTCTTCATTGTTTCATTTTAATATTGACTTGGGTTCTCGATAAGCAYAGRCCAGCACCTTCGKACAATCATTTTCGAAACGAATTGGAGGATCGTCCAGTCTTCTTTGCTTGCTTCGACSTTTGYGACTYAACGGTATGTCGAATCAAATYATAATTACTTTTCAAATAAAATTTTACATTATTTTATGAATACAGTTTTCTTTTTAGTTACAATCTAATTATTTTTAACTTTGATTTTTGACAACTAGGAGCGAGCACCTGCAGTTACAAGACAAGTCTAACCACAATTATGTAACATTGGTATGTGGGGCCGAATGGAAGTGCTTTCGATGTCTAAATCAAACTCAGAGGAGATGACATTTCTTTAGATTTCTTTCTTTGTCAAAAAATAAATGAATAAATAATCAAATGTAGAACAGGGAAACCAGTAATGGCAAATTAATGAATAAATTACTAGAAAACAATGGGAATAAATTAATAGTTCTGAATAGTCCTGAAGTAACGCAGGCTCACGTTTACAGGAAAGTGAGTGACTGAGTGATTGAGTGAATGACAGACTCGTCCCCCTCCAATAACTATTCGATTGCTTCGCAATCTTAGAGTTAAAAATGGGGAACATGAAGAAAATTAGCTTGATTTGTGTTGTGTATGCTGTGCTCACACACTAAGGTTTACATAATCATTGAATATTGTTCGAATTCTTTCTTTAGAATGCTGCTAATTTATCATACTGATCTGAGCACAAAAGTGTCTTTGATGAAGATCATAACGTGGAGAGCCGTGGAGGCTTCAAACAATATTATTTAATTGCACAGCTTTAGTCTTCAAAAGCAGAGGCTTCTTCTGGACGTATATATCGCAACTATCACCGATTCCATATTTCTTTACGATTGACAACACTTGAAC